TTTTATAATAATTTTTTAATCAAAAGATTTTAGTTGCGTTCGATAATTAGTAAAAATAATTTTCAAAGTTAGAATTAGCAACAATTTTATATTTATATTGTGTGATTTTTTTTTGTAATTATTTTTATGATAAAATTATTTTATAAATAGAAGTATCCGTTATATTCCATTTAAATTAAAAAAAATTATTGTTAAAAAAAATGATAAAGTTATTTTAAAAAATTGCAAGTTGTAATTTGTTAATTAGATAAGCGGATAAAGTGTTGGAATTTTTTATATTATGCATTAGAAAATATATTTTTAAATTCATATTGCACAAAATATATTTTTTGGCATGAGTTAATTTTGTAGTTTTACAACTTAAATTGTACTTTTTTGTGTTTTTCATTTTGAAAAACTATACTCCTATATATTATAAATTGGAATTTTAAAACCTTTTCAAATGATTAAAGCTTGAGATTATTTCGATTTTATAACATTAAACCTTATCATTTTTGTTTTATCTATGTTTTTTTTCCCAAATTTTAGTGGTTCATTCTAAGCATGAAACAATTTAGTTGTAATAGCCATGCTTGTCAAAATCGAGTTTTAAATCGTAAAATCATATTATTTTATGATTCTAGGTATGTATTTTGAAAAAAATCTATGTTAAAATCAGAATCTCATGAAATCGGAAGGAAAAATCGTAAAATCACAATTTTATGGTAAAATCACAATTTTATGGTAAAATCGTTTGAAATCTCGATTTTACATGGAGTGGAGGAATCTCCCTGATGGTTGGTCGGTTGCTGTGAGACGGAGGAGATGACTGGCAACTATGTTCAGGCGAAGGAGAACAGATCAATGATGAGGAACGAGTGATGAGAATGGTGATTGGTGACGGAATGGGGGAAAACTGAATGTAAGGGTAGTAATACAACTAACCTATAAACATAGTGAAGGCCCATGAAGCCCAAATACAAAAGAGCACATGCATGAGTTACTATGAAACTTATATACACTCAAATAGATCCAAAGGGACCAACAGAAATGCAACACATGTCCAGCATCCCCAAAGGATTTATAAATATCCCCACACCCCTCAAAGATACGGGACTTCTCCTTCAGTATTTCTCTCTAATACACTTCATTCTCTCTAAAGAGCTTTATGTGTAGACTATTGTTGATTTAAGCATCGGAGTGTCTACCCCGAGGGCCACCCTCGGGACTTTGCAGGTTTATTGAAGGAGAAGATCTGAGCAAGGAAGGCCTTGAAGGTTTTCTGCAACAACATTGGCACCGTCTGTGGGAACCGAATAAAAAGCTTCATTTCTATGTTGATCCGGTTGATTGGAGGGAGGAGAAAACGAGTGAAGGCCTCATGGCCTATTCACTTGAGTTGTAGAAGCAGATCTGATGAATTTACACTTGAGTTGCAAAAGTTTACACTTGAGCTGTAGAAGCAAATGTGATGAAAAGGGTCTATTCGCCCATGAAGAAGAGAAGCTTTCACAAAAAGACAAACAAGGGAGTAGCTCTGCACAATTATCGAGGCAGGTTACAATGTCAGCCATGAGTATTCAAGAAGCAAAAAAGTGTCAGCAAAACACCAGCTTAAGGTAACTCAGAGGGGTCCACCAAAAAAGAAAAAGAAAAAAACTTATCCCTTTCCTTCTAAACCCCTCCGGTTTCAGCTATGGTGGTCATGTGCCTCTCTGTTCTTCAACCATAAATGTACTTCTCATCTATTCAGTTGGTAATACAAAACGAAGGAAATAGAAATGGGGTTGGAGGGTGTAGTGGATAAAGGCATGGAGTTGGGGGAGATGGCATTCAACAAAGTTTGGCTGATAACTGATAAATGTCTGGCTGTTTCCAGTGTTGGTGTTTTCTGTTTGTTCAAATCACCAGAGCCACTGGTTACGACAGTGCCGTAGTGCTGGAGCTCTTGTTCACAACATTGCCATTTCCTGCCAAAAATAGATTTCTGCAAATCCATCTTCTGTTTTGTCTCCCCTCACCTCTATACACATTTCACATTTCCTTGATCAAATCAAACACCCAATTCCCAATATTTGGAGGAAGTTGAGACGTGAAAGAAATTTGACTAGGAAGATTGAGATACGTGCAAGACAAAAAAGAGTTTGCTGAAGTCAACCACGAATTGCCGAGCTCAAACACAAGCTGCAGAGGCCAAGCATGAAGTGCAGAACTCCAACACGAGCTACCGAGCTCAAACACAAGCTGCAGAGGCCAAGCATGAAGTGCAGAGCTCCAACACGAGCTTCCGAGCTCAACCACGAGTTGCAGAGGTCAAGCATGAAGCTGCAAAGCACAAACACGAGCTTCCGAGCTCAACCACGAGCTGCAGAGGTCAAGCAAGAAGTGCAGAGCTCCAACACGAGCTTCTGAGCTCAACCACGAGCTGCAGAGGTCAAGCATGAAGCTGCAGAGCACAAACACGAGCTTTCGAGCTCAACCACGAGCTGCAGAGGTCAAGCATGAAGTGCAGAGCTCCAACACGAGCTACCGAGCTTAAACACAAGCTGCAGAGGCCAAGCATGAAGTGCAGAGCTCCAACACGAGCTTCCGAGCTCAACCACGAGTTGCAGAGGCCAAGCATGAAGTGCAGAGCTCCAACACGAGCTACCGAGCTCAACCACGAGCTGCAGAGGTCAAGCATGAAGCTGCAGAGCACAAACACGAGCTGCCAAGGTCAACTATGAGCTGCAAAGGTCGAGCACAAAGCGCAGGGGTCAAGCACGAAGTGTAGAGCTCAAACATGAGCTGCCGAGGTCAACCACGTGTTGTAGAGCTCAAACACTTGCTGCCGAGGTCGAGCATGAAGTGTAGAACTTGAGCACAAGCTGTAGAGGTCGAACACTCACTACCGAGGTCAGCCACGAGTTGCAGAGGCCGAGCATGAAGTGCAAAACTTGAACACGAGGTGCAGAGGTCGAGCATGAGCGGAAAGATATGCAACATGAGCTGAAAGGTGTCAACACCCTCAACCAGGTGCCGACACTTTTCCTGCATTCGTCCCGAAGACTCCGTGTCGAGTTTTTGTCCTTCTCTGCAAATTCTGTTAACGGTAAAATTATAGTCCCGACCCCTTACTTTTGGATTTTGCACAATTTAATTCTCAAATTTCATATCTTTGCAATTTACTCCTAAGGATTGTGACTTTTTCCAATTAAGTCCTCTCCAGCACATAATGAAAATTATGCAAAATTAGGTAAATTTTCATAAAATTCATCCAAATGTCAATAATATCAAGGCATAAATTTTACATTAATATGTATATAAATTTAGTTCATTAGCCATGTATTGTTTTGAAAATTAAAAAAGATGAATTAGTAATCTTTTTCTTTTATTTATTTTATATAATATACTTTCTTGATTATAAAACTGGATGCCTTTGATTTCTCCTTTTTTCAAGTCCTTGTGATACAGGTTGTCAAGAAAGCAATTAAGCTCCATAGCAAATTAGAGCTTTGGTCCAAGCTTGGTCCAATCTTATATTAAAATTTGTTATTAATTGCTTTTCGCATTCTTTGCATTCATTCCACATTTTTCCATTCATTCTGCACTTGTTTTTGCACTCATGATATCATTTTTCCATCTCATTTTTTATATATCATAATCATGCTACTTTGCTCATTTGCACTTATAATTATAACTATACATTGCTATTTTAGAGATGGAAAAGTGCGGGGACTCCATGTGGGGTGGGTTCTAGAGAAATCCCTTTATGGTGAGCTCTTTTTGTACGAGCTATAAACAACTCCTCCATCAAAAATTTTAAAAGGCCACGGGCCCAAACCATAAAGCTCAATAGCTTACGAAGATGATCAAGTAAATTTCTTCTTTGGCATCATTTATGAGAGGCTAGATTTTTTCTCTCCACATTTGCTCGAGTCACGGCAAGAAGGAGTTAACATCATTTGTAAGAAGCTAAATTCTTTCTCGAGTTTCTATCTCATCAAGCACAATTCTTTCTCAAGTATAAATTAACTCTACTCTGCAAGTCAAGTAAGTATTACATATTAGAAATTTCAAAATTACTTTGCGTATTCAAGATTTTTATTGAGTCATTTTGCATGTCCAATTTTTGTTATTATATTTACAAGTTAGAAAGACTTTTTATTACAACATGCATGACTGCTTGTTTATTGGACATGTTAAAGCATAAAAAATACAAATAATGTAATTTACGATTACAACATTTATGTTTACCGACCCCAAATGTGCGGGTTGAGGAGGGAGAAGAGTCATATATTATGACTTCTAATAAGAACCTATAATTAAAAAGTGCAGCTTCATAATTTATTCAAGTTACAGTTATTAACTGTGATACTGAGCTAAAGATATATATATATATATATATCCTTATCATATAACATGGTCAACATTGGACTTTAACAATGGAACTTCATGTGTTGACTTAGGAACTTAAACAAGTTCATAAACTAGGTTGAGTTCATCCTCATGACAGCCTAGTCCAAGGTGAACTACCCCGGATGAGGCAAATGACCCCAGATGAGGCAAACGACCTCGGATTAACTCGGACTACCCCCTACCCATATAATCTCCACATCATTCACAAGTGAATGACTCCCGAGAGGGGGAATAGTGTGATGGTAGTCCGATGTGAACCACCTTGGATAAGGTAAACAACCTTAGATGAACTCAACTGCTTGAGTCCATCCTCATGACAACTCATTCTGAGGTCAACTACCTTGGATGAGGTAAACCTTAGATGAACTCGACTGCTTTTACTCCATCCTCATAATAGCCCTTTTCGAGGTCAACTACCTTGGATGAGGTAAACAACCTCAGATGAACTCAACTACTTGAGCTCATCCTCATGACAACCCATTCCGAGGTGAACTCCCTTGGATGGTGTAAGCAACCTCGAATGAGCTCAATTGCTTGAGCTCATCCTCATGACAACCCATTTGGATGAGGTAAACAACCTTAGATGAACTCAACTGCTTGAGCTTATCCTCATGCTAGCCTGTCCGAGGCAAACTACCTTGGATGAGGTGAACAACTTTAGATGAACTCAACTGCTTGAGCTTATCCTTATGACAGTTGAGCTCAAGTCTAGCTTGCAATCAGCTTGCCATTTCACCAGCTATCTTGTGTTCCACCTCTCATGGGCCATTCATCAATAAGATATGCTAAGCACCTATTTATTAAATATATTTTTCATGTTTCAACTAAAAGTGAGTGGCTTAAATGACATTTATTTATATTAATATATTTGTGGAGCCTCATGCAAATAGTGGAATAATCCACAAGCTAATGGTATCCATGAGCTTGTGGTCTTTATTATTGGTTCTAACTTAAAGAGATAAATCTCTTTTTGAGAGGGGGAGTAGGAATACATGAGCAACAAAAATAAACTTTCACATTTTACTCGGCATGTGCTTAACCTGCTGTTTGAATATATTTTGAAACTCATATTTTAGCATTGTTTATTTTGATGACTCATGTCATAAACATTTATATTTAATTCTAAATTATTGTGCCACTTTAATGTTGATGCATCTCATATATCATTGATTATTAATGAACTAATGGTATCTTGTCAAGTTCTATGTTTAGAATGAATTCTTACAAATCTCATGAGTTTGTTAACTCCTTGGCTTGGAAGACTCAGAAATATGTTATTAGCTTTTAAACTTATCAGTTCATCAGAAAATACTGTTGGCCTTTGAGCCCATTAGCTATTGGCTTTTTTAGCTCATTCTATCTACAAGAGCTTGCATCCATCAACTATCAGCTTCCCAGCTCATTTGTTCTATGAAAGCTCAGTTCAATCTTAACTCTGCAAAGCACAACCCTCAAAAGGGTTTGATTTTATGCTATGACTCGAGAGACCAAGATTTTCTTATGGGCATCTCAAGGTGGGATTCTGTGGTAGGCATCTCCAGCTACCAAAATTGGTATTCAATCAACTCTACAAAAACTGGTTCTGATCCTAGCTCTATAGAGCATGACTCTCAGAAGTCTGACTTCCATTATTATGGCTCATGAGGTTGCAATCGTCACTTTCGAGTCGTCATTTTCAAGTCATCATTCTCAGTTACGACCACAACACATGACTAGGGTCATGCATCTTTACTTCGGCTACGGCCATAGTGACCCCAAGTCACACATTTTATTTCAACTCCAGCTACATGACTCCGGTCATTACTTATTATTTCGGCTCCGGCCGCTATGACTCTGGTCATCATTACTTACCCCGGCTTTAGCCATAGTGACACCGAGTTACCTATTTTACCTTGGCTACGGCCATAGTGACCACGAGTCACCAGTTCTACTTCTGCTCCGGCCATAGTGACCCCGAGTCACATATTTTACTTCAGCTCCGACCATAGTGGTCCCGAGTTACATATTTTACTTCGGCTTCGGCCATAGTGACCCCGAGTCATCTATTTTACTTCGGCTCCTGTCATAGTGACTATGTGTCACCTATTTTACTTCGGCTCTGGCCATAGTGACCACACGTCACCTATATTACTTCGGCTTTGGTCACAGTGATTGAGTCATCAATTTCACTTAGGCTACTGCTTTAACACATGACTCTGTGTCATGCATTTTTACCTTGGCTACGGCCCTAACACATGACTCCGCGTCATGTGTGTTTACTTAGGCTACGGCCCTAACACATGACTCCGTGTCATGCATTTCTACCTCGGCTACGGCCTAAAACACATGACTCTGCGTCATGCATTTTTGCTTAGGCTACGACCCTAACACATGACTCTGTGT